TTATAGACTGAATAGCAGTCAGTGTCCTTAAAGCGGGTGTGTTACGCTAACAGTGGATACGGTGCCCAGTGCCACCACTCACTGGTGTCATAATAGCTTGGATTTAAAAACAAAAAACTTTTTTCACTGTTATAGATTGAATAGCAGTCAGTTGTCTGCCACTGCTGCCAGCTTCTGTGTCAGGCTCACAGTGCATACTGTGCCCATTTCCCCAGTCAGCGCCACCAATTACATCTGGTGTCACAATAGCTTGGATTTAAAAACAAAAAACTTTTTTCACTGTTATAGATTGAATAGCAGTCAGTTGTCTGCCACTGCTGCCAGCTTCTGTGTCAGGCTCACAGTGCATACTGTGCCCATTTCCCCAGTCAGTGCCACCAATTACATCTGGTGTCACAATAGCTTGGATTTAAAAACAAAAAACTTCTTTTACTGTTATAGATTGAATAGCAGTCAGTGTCCTTAAAGCGGGTGTGTTACGCTAACAGTGGATACGCTGACAAGTGCCACTAATTAGATCCTGTGTCACAATAGCTTGGATTTAAAAACAAAAAACTTTTTTTACTGTTATAGATTGAATAGCAGTCAGTGTCCTTAAAGCGGGTGTGTTACGCTAACAGTGGATACGCCGACCAGTGCCACTAATTAGATCTGGTGTCACAATAGTTTGGATTTAAAAAAAAAATAATCTTTTTTCACTGTTATAGATTGAATAGCAGTCAGTGTCCATAAAGCGGGTGTGTTACGCTAACAGTGGATACGGTGACCAGTGCCACCAATTAGATCTGGTGTCACAATAGCTTGGATTTAAAAAAAAACAACACTTTTTTCACTGTTATAGATTGAATAGCAGTCAGTGTCCTTAAAGCGGGTGTGTTACGCTAACAGTGGATACGCTGACCAGTGCCACTAATTAGATCTGGTGTCACAATAGCTTGGATTTAAAAAAAAAAATAATCTTTTTCACTGTTATAGATTGAATAGCAGTCAGTGTCCTTAAAGCTGGTGTGTTACGCTAACAGTGGATACGCTGACCAGTGCCACTAATTAGATCTGGTGTCACAATAGCTTGGATTTAAAAAAACAAAACACTTTTTTCACTGTTATAGATTGAATAGCAGTCAGTGTCCTTAAAGCGGGTGTGTTACGCTAACAGTGGATACGCTGACCAGTGCCACTAATTAGATCTGGTGTCACAATAGCTTGATTTAAAAAAAAAATAATCTTTTTTCACTGTTATAGATTGAATAGCAGTCAGTGTCCTTAAAGCGGGTGTGTTACGCTAACAGTGGATACGCTGACCAGTGCCACTAATTAGATCTGGTGTCACAATAGCTTGGATTTAAAAAAAAAATAATCTTTTTTCACTGTTATAGATTGAATAGCAGTCAGTTGTCTGCCACTGCTGCCAGCTTCTGTGTCAGGCTCACAGTGCATACTGTGCCTATTTCCCCAGTCAGTGCCACCAATTACATCTGGTGTCACAATAGCTTGGATTTAAAAACAAAAAACTTTTTTCACTGTTATAGATTGAATAGCAGTCAGTTGTCTGCCACTGCTGCCAGCTTCTGTGTCAGGCTCACAGTACATACTGTGCCCATTTCCCAAGTCAGTGCCACCAATTAGATCTGGTGTCACAATAGCTTGGATTTAAAAAAACAAAAAACTTTTTTCACTGTTATAGATTGAATAGCAGTTAGTTATCTTCAAGCGGGTGTCAGGCCTGCAGCCTGTGCTCTGCACAACTGTGCCAGTGCACATTGCCACTCATATCTGGTCTCACAGTAGCTTGCACGCATAGTACCACTAATCCCAACAAAAATGACAGGCAGAGGCAGGCCACCCCGCAGGGGCCGTCGTGGTGCTGTGATTCCCTTTGGCCCTAGAATAATGCCCAGTTTTCAGAGGCCACGTACCCTGAACTTGAAAGGTTCTGAGGACATAGTTGACTGGCTAACACAGGACACCCAATCTTCTACAGCCTCCGCTCAGAACCTTGACGCACCATCCTCCTCCAGCTTAGCTTCGGGCACCTCTCAAGATACCACTCACCCGCCTGCCGCCACCACCACCAAAACTAGCACCACAGCAGCTTTACTTGGTATGTCAGAGGAGTTATTCACACATCCGTTTGAAGAAATGAGTGATGCGCAACCATTATTGCCAGAGGATGTAGATAACAGGGATATGTCTCGGGCAGGCAGCATTACACACATGGACGTACGGTGTGATGATGATGATGATGTTGTACCCGCTGCTGCTTCCTTTGCTGAGTTGTCAGATACAAGTGAAGCGGTTGATGATGACGATGCGTCCATGGATGTCACGTGGGTGCCGCTCGTCAAGAAGAAGAACAGGGCGAAAGTTCAGATGGGGAGACAGGGAGGAGGAGGAGACGAGTTGGAAGCAGGGGGAGGTCGTCGCAAGGAGCTAGTGGCACAGTCAGACAGCATGCATCGGCACCCGGGGTCAGCCCGACAGCACGCCAATCAACGCATGCTGTGTCCACCACCAGAATGCCGTCATTGCAGAACTCAGCAGTGTGGAATTTTTTTTGTGTGTCTGCCTCTGACAACAGCGATGCCATTTGCAACCTGTGCCAAAAGAAACTGAGTCGTGGGAAGTCCAGCACCCACCTAGGTACAACTGCTTTGCGTAGGCACATGATCTCACATCACAAACGCCTATGGGATCAACACATGAGTACAAGCAGCTCACCTACTCTAAGCCGCCAGCCTCCTCCTGGTCC